ATACATATATATATATAGTTTTACACATCTGCTATCCCTCGCCTGTTTGTTTAGTAAGTTTTTTTGTCAGAAATATTTTACATCTTGATTATGCTATTGTACCAAATACAGTGTACCAAAGATATGTCTAAAATATCTGCATGAACTATCTCCGTTTTCTCTTTTAAAAGTCATGTTTGAAGACAGTTTGAAGGCTGACAAATCAGACAAATGTCCAAGTGCTTTTCAAATCGTAATCATAAATCACAAACCTTTATTCGCTGGATTCAACTATAGCAAAGAATAAATCTAATATTTCAAAGAGTTTGATGCATGCGTTTTCTAATTGCTTCACTTAATAAACAACACAGAAATCAGTCTTGATACACTGGTTCCTGCATTTTGGTAAGGACCTTAAAGCAAGCATGTTTTGAATAAAACTGAATACTTTGTTGATTTTAGGTTGGTTTATTGGCCTACCCGCCAGAATCACACTGAAAAAAAGAATCAATCATCTAGTGATGAACTATATGAAAATGTTCACAAATCCCACCTATATAAATGCTCTTGGTTTAAATTACTTAAAGGCATGAATGTTAAATCTGGCAATAAAGCTGATGAGTATTTAAGTGCATGCAAACTGAGTCTATATTTACCAGCCTGTGCAGGGTGTGGTAGATCTTGTGGATACTGGCCAGTGTGGACAAATGAGAGTTCAGCTGGAAATCTGTGAGGGACATATAAAAATAAACATCTGTTACTCCTGGCAGTTATGTACAAGCATCTGGGCTATACATGGGTTTCTGTGTGTTGCTTGTTGTGGTGTGTATATATGTTCGCACTGCAGTGTCTTCAGTTTATACGTTGACATTTTTGAGGACATGGGAAAGAAGCATCTGCTCCAGTCAGCCTGTAAAATGACAGGGAAATATGAGAGGCCACGTGAGATTCTGAAGTGTTTCTAATAGGCTAATTCATACAAGTATGCATTTAACTGCTCTATGTGTCTTCATTATGAATATAGCCGGCTACCAACACTGTCATCCATAATCTTTATATTGTCAGGTATGGTTTCCTCAAGAAAGTAAATGCCAGTGTGGAGGCCATATTTCTCTAGCATGTTAATATCAGGTCCTAGCGAATTTGTGAAAAAAAGATTTGGGATTAGATATATTTAAGAATAAATATGCACAGAGAGCCAAGTACAGATTGAAACAGGTTTACAAGGATATACTTAACACCAGTTGGACAAAAGGTACACAGCAATATTCCATAAGCTTGTAGTTGTAACCTAACACTTCAGAAGATGCATTAATTCATTGTATGTGATCATGTGATTAAATTTTATTGTTTTCGAAGGAAGTCAGTAATGCCAATTCCCTTTCGGTCTTCAATTTACCTTTAGATCCACAGTTTTTCATTCAGGGTATTCTTCAAGATAATATAGCCTAAATATCAAAA